TTACCGTAAAGTAAGTAAATAGAGGGTTCATGACCTTACGTATTATTTGTTTATGGTCAAAATATTACCAATGTTCAAGAATAGTGGACATAAACTTTTTCATTAAATCTATTCAAGGTTTGAATAATCATTCTCCATTTTCATGCAACTTTTCTAATATGGAGATTATCAAAGAAAAAATGGACGGATTGATAAGTACATTGACTTTTAAATGTCAAATGTGGAATATTGAAGAGGAGATAGCAACATAGGATTCTGGTAACAATTCACTGAACTTGAATGGTTCTGGTTATTCAGACATACAGCAGCAGCACGCTGCATTAAATATACCTGTGATGTCCTACAGGCAGTATGCAAAACATACGGAAACAGTTGCAGATATCATCGGCCAAACACTTTGTGATTCCTTAGAAGAGGCTGGATGGGAGGAATTAGCTTTAGCCAAAGAAATTGGTGAAGTAGATTCCGACGGAAATGGGTTAATAAACATTATAGCTGATGGTGCTTGGTCAAAAAGATCGTATAAAGTAAACTACGATGCTTCTTCAGGTGTAGTACCTGACGTTGTAAAATTTATTAAATTAGTACGCCTTTGATGGATAGGACATGTAATTAGGCGAGATGAAGATGAAACGATCAGAAAAATTTTCGACCGAAGAGGACCAGTGGGAAGACGATCCAGAGGAAGACCAAAACTTAGGTATCAAGATAACATAGATGATGATCTAAAATCCATCGGAGTTAAAGCATGGAAAAAGTTGCCAGAGGCAGGGGCGAATGGAAGATTTTTCTGAAGAAGCCTTTGGCTCATGACGAGCTGTAATGCCACTGATGATGATGAAATAACTATCCACGATTTGTGTTTTATTCATCAATTGGATACTTTTCTTATGTAACTGCAACCTATAAATATATTAAAATAATGTATATTCCATTCAGAGAACTTTTTCCTCGCAGTGCGTCGCCTCGAAATACTTGTCAGATAAATACATTTACTATTATGATGGTTTCGCAGGTACCAATTTTTTATAGATAAATAAAAATATTTTTTGTTTAGTTTTTACTACGCTAATATCAGTTTTCTCTAACAAATAAATAACTTATTGAAATAATTTTCAAGCTATAACTGCGAAATTGTTTATTTGTTTGTGACAACAAATTGTAATTTTTTTGATAATAATATTCTTATGTTATTTTAAATTTATTATAAATAAACACCATGGTGTTTTTTGCAGTCACGTTTCACAAATTTTTATTTAATACAATGTTTAGCTAAGACATATAAATTTAAAATGTGATTAATTATTTTTAAAACATTATCTACGATAATTAATCTAAAAAAAAGTATTCCGACAAAACTAATTTGAATGGGGAATAATGCATTTATTGTCATTAAACAACCCGTGGGCCGGCGCCACTGAATAAACATCCAAACTGACTAAGCTGTGTAGAAAAGTAAGTGATACACCCACTTCAAATCGCAGTATGCTATAACTGCGAAAACAGCCTTAACTAATCATTTAAAATCTATAGAGTAGACCCATGACGAGTGAAATGGTTAAAACACCTTGAAAGTGTAAGAATCAACAAAAGCTTTTAAACAAAGAGATTGTATAATATAAATATATAGGAAAAATTGTTTCAGTGAAAGCCACCTTTTTTAGAAAAATGACAGTATATTCTAGGTATGCTCAAATCTGAATGTATGTTTTAACAATGTGAAAATATATATAGCTTTTATACTAACCAGTTAATGAGACCTGCTGAATTCATTAGTCCATTTCCAGAATTTCTATGAACCGTTCACATATTCTGAAAAAAAAAAGTTCCGTTATATTTTTATAAAACAAGTTTCAATATATTGTTCAATATTATGAAGTTTAAAGTCAGTTAAAATTATCCACATGAAAGTTCAGTCATATGCTTGTCAAAATTAAATCATCATGAAAATTATATTATTCACAAACTTATACTAGGTGAAAGTATAGAGAATATACCAGTGAAGTTAGCTACAATTGAAACTTCAGTAAATCACAAATTTGTGTTTGTGGTTTTGCCATGTCCTTATGTATTTTTTATTTTCTTTTTTTAATTTTCATAAAATATGAACAAATGAATATTTGTTTGTTTTGATATTAGTTGAAGTTAGTTACATTGCTTGCTCTTTCAGGATTTATTAAAATGACATGACACTGCTAAATACAAAAATTTCCTTCATTTGTAGCTAACTAGAAGATTTTCTATACGGACGATTTTCACATTTGGTCCCATTGAAGATAGCTTCAAATGGGTTTGACAGAATGAAATATTGGTGTTTTGCAGTGTTGAAATTTACATTACAAATGAAACATACACAATTAAAACCAATAAGATATTTAAAAACTAATTAACGATTACGGAAAATAGAAAAAGTAAATAGTTTTAAAACAGTTTTTAACAGTAAATAGTAAAATGTCAGTATAAATAATAAAATTTAAAAGGCATCTGTTGCAATCTGGCAGTTGGTGGTTTGAGATTGCCAAATCTATCCACTAACCTACCAAAGGGCAATTGCCAAAAAAAAATTTCTGATAATTGATTACAACTAATATCAAACGAAACAAATATTACTTGATTAATATTTTATATAAGGTATAAAATTGCAGAATCCATAAAATAATATGATAAAAATGTACCTTTTAAAAGCTTTATCTCTTTGTATTTGAAGCATATAACATATACATTATAATAACATGGCAACACTGCCAAAATGTGAAAATCATCCTTTCTATACTTTTACCCCAAATTACTTATATTATCCACAAACTTGTACTAACCTTATAAAACAAAGATCTTCCCAATGCTACATGTCACATTTCTGAAAAAGAAATTTCCACATAAATTATTTGTTTTACATGTTTTAATCTAGAAGAGTAAATGTAATAATAATTCAGACTAGCATTTGTCATCAATTAATTTATGACAGGGATAACTAAAGACATCATGTTACGATCATCCAACTTCGTTAATCAGGATAATGTTAAAAACGCTTTCCTTCATGTCATGACTAGATTACCTACAGAAGTATTAAAAATGAAAGTAGAAGATGACATCTTGAGTAGTCCATAGAACAAATTTAATTTAAAAAAAGACTAACTCATTAATTCAAAAAAACCTATATGTCTGTTTGTACTACTGAATATTGGCAATCATTCTGGTTATAATGACTTTGTTGGTTGCTATACGAAATAGCTGTGATGTTGTCTTTCTATACCATGCTCTCAGTTTAGCAAGCCAGGATATTCTTCTTCTTCCTGGGGCCCCTCTTCCTTCAATTTTACCTTGAAAATGCATTAAAGTGGCTCATATCTGTCTTGATTTCTCATATGTCCGAAGTACTGCAGCTTACAGCCCTTCATGATGTTTACAAAATCCGCAGTTGTGTTCATCCTCTACGGTACTAATTCATAGGTGACTGTCCATGGTATCTTAAGGATCTTTCTGTATGACCATAGCTCAAAAGCCTGAAGTTTTCATAGTTTCCACCTTCAATGTGCACATTTCTACTCCATACAGAACCACTGAGTACTTGAGAAGTGCCATTTCCGCGGCGGAGGTCGGCAATCATCATAGCTATTCTGTCTTTTGAGATGGCTGTTCAGAGTACACATAACATTCAAGGGGCCATATTTTTGTTTCTAGGGTGAGGTCGTGGCTCTTGAGCACACAACTCATGCAGTTTCTGCCTTTCTGATGCGGCATTTAATCTCATGGGTGTTGTCCCACAACTCATTGATTATAGTTCCCAAGTAGTTGTATTGTGAGACAAGTTCAATTCTCATTTGGTTCACATAGTTTTGCTCCAGTTGTTTTCATCGCTGATGATCATTAGCTTGGTTTTGCTGGTGTTTATATCCAGTCCATATTTTCTACTTGTTTCCGTAATTTTGTTCATGAAGTTTTGCAGTCCTTCTATGGTATTTTAAAACACTATTGTATCATTTGCATACCGCAGGTTATTTAGCTTGACTCCATTTTATCGAGATGCCTTCATCAGTATCTTTTAGAGCCTCTTCAAAAATGTGAATAGTAAATAGAAATTTAAAGTTAATACACTACAAGTTCGTAAAAAACACTTTACTTACCATTATTAGCTGTATAGATTTATATCTTTCAGGTTTCCAAAAAGAATATCTTGAAAATTTTGAACAGGCAGCTCAGGTTTATACATTCTGATGATTTTACACTGCAAAGTTAAATATTTTTGTTACTATATACTATTGAATTACATTTACACTTAAAATATATATTGTATCAGAAATTTCCGATCAATTATAATCATAGTTCATACGAACGAGACAAATACTCATCATGGAAAGTTGTTTTGGAGAAAATATTCGTAGTAAAAGGTAGTAAATACATTAAATCTTCCATTGATGATATTCGAAAATAATTTATAGAGTTGATGTATGAGATATAACAAAAATTAAAATACCTTTTTATAGTGATGTGCAGATTTAACAATAACCAAACTTATCCAACCAACTTCCTTGAAAAAAATGAGACACGAAACACGTTTTCGCCGTTTTTTATAAGAATTTTTATGTTGGTATACAGTGACATTTCCGTAGTTCTCTGTTTCCGTTAAGAAATACCAAATGTCATGTTTTTTTAAGAAATTCAGCACACAACACGCAAATGTTTTTCAATTTAAACTTAATATTAAAACCAGTTGTTAATAAAATATATTTATTTTGTACTACAAATATTGTATAGGAATATTCATTCTATCTATAAGTAGTGATGTAAATTTTAAATTCTATTTTTAAATAACATTTTATTATTTTATATTTAAATTTTAAGTATAGATTTAAATATTAGTAAATATCCATATTTAAATGATTGTATACATAACTCCATTAGTAGAAATAATGATTTTATTTATATTCTAGTTTGGCATGAGTGAATTATTTTCTACAACAAAAAAAAACGAAAATAATTACATTTTGTTAAATAAAAATAAAAAATAATATACAACGGCAAGACATTGTTCCCTTAGCTGATATCTCATTACTCGAGAGATCATAAAAGGAAATAAGGAGGGAGAAGATTCCTGTTGACCTGTTGTCATTTTACAATAGTTCATAACCTAAAATAATAATTAAAATATATTTGGCGCGTAAATAAATAAACATGCAAAAAAGTATTACGTTAGTAATTAAGTATTTATTCTTTACCCATTTTCTAATTATTTTTATTTTAGATCATTTTTTAAGAAAGTACCTACAAACGACAAAGAAAATACTGGTGCTGGGTATGTGTACTGATTGAATTAAAATGTATCTGTTAAGGCCTTCTTATTTATGTAGAGCCAGTAATTTTAAGTCAAATAAGTTAATTACATTACTATTTTGTGACAAGCACACAAAAAATAATATTACTAATAAGATTAAATCACAATCAAAGGAGATACCAATCATAAAAAAACTTAAAGTGAAAAAGTAAGTTTATTATACTTGTTCTCACTTACAATTTATCTTGGTGTTTTAGATTGTCAGTTAGCGATGTTGAAAAAAGGAATAACACAACACCTACGAAGAAAACAGAGAGGTAAATAGAAATGTATTTCTTCAAATTGTGACTACTTAATAATATAATTTTTAGATCACCAACACCAGAAAGGCTAAAAATAGCAGAGGAGACATCCCCAAATATTAATAGGTAAAATTTTTACAACGTCAGAATATAAAAGATAAAATTATAATTAATTGAGTACCTACTATCCATTGTAGTAGTAGTATGTAGCAGCTTAGTTACATTTTGACAGAGTAATTGTTGGAAACATGCAATAAAAACATCTTTTACTACACCTTATTAATATTAAAACTAAACTTGGTGTCACAGACTTATTTAATTGAAAAAAGGAGAATAATCATGAGTAATGGGAGTATCTGTTTATTAGTTTTAATTGAAAATGTTCTCTTTGTCAATACTAATCTTTAAATCACTTAACATTCAAAGATTACAATTTAACCTTTATTTTAATTGATTTAATGTTAAACTGCATGTGAAGAATTGTTTACTTTAAGTTACATTTAATATTGGCTATAAGCATGTGTGTTTGGTTGTGTAGTAACTTCTAGTTGAAGTCAAAGTTTCTCCAAGTAACAAAAATAAATTATTAAATTTAATAGTTTTTTTTATAAAGTTTCCATTTCAGGAAATCTCTATTAAAATAAAGTATTCTGTGAGGAAAGTGATCATACTAGCCAAAACATAGATAGAGGAGGTGGGAGTCTGGCCCTTTAATTTGTTTTTCGACTAGAGCTTATAAAGAATCAACATTTTTAAATTTCAATTTTTGTCCACATAACTATTAGTCTAATACTAATACAGTATTATTAAAAATTATAAAAAAATGAAGTAAATGAAGTGAGCTTTGTAAGTCGACTAAAGGCTAGATGCAGTAGTTCTTGGGGCCTGGCAAGTTTCGATAGATAAAGCTATATGTAGTATTAAACGTAAATCAACAAGAGCATTGGTGGAAGTGACAAATTCACTTGAGGGACGACTTACCAGCAGGGGCCATATTCCCACCTTCTCCTATATTATTTTAAGCAGTTAATATTATATAATACCCAAAATTTACATAAAATAATTATCCTTTTATATTCATTTATTTTTATTTTTAAGTTCAGTATGTACTATTTTCTAATTTTTTTAGTGTTAAAAGAAGAAGTAAAAGGGCACGGATTTTAAGTAGTGATGAATCTGACCAGGAACAGTAAGTTTCTAAATTGTAATAAGGCCATTTTTATTTGCGTGTATTGCTTGTAGACCCAACTGTATGGATACTGATACAAAGAACACCAATGGACAGAAGACTGATGAGAAAACAATAGAATTGGCTACAAAGAAACAGAAACGTAGTGAAACATCTGAAAAACCAGTAGATACAACTGAGAGTACATCAATTTCTACTAATAAAAATAAAAAAGAAGAATCCACATCACCTAAAGCAAAGACATCACCTAAAAACAAAGATAAGCCTGATACAAAGGAAGATAAGGAAAAGATAAAAGAGGTTAAAGAAGTTTCAAAAGATGAGCCGAAGAAAAAAGTGAACTCATTTGTATTTGGTAATTATAGTTTTTTATTTACAGGGTTTAATGTTGTTTATTGAAGCAATAATAGAGTGATAGTGATGTTGATACATATTAGTTTCAAATGGGATATGTTACTCATATTATTTCTTTTGTTGCCATATCAACTACTGCTTATAATTAAATATATTGTTCTTTTCTAGGTGTTCAAAAATCAGATACATCAACTAAAGATGATAAGAAAAAATATAATCCAGCATCAGCCAAATATGATCCAATCACAGACGCTACATGGAAACACAAAGAAAAGTAAAATAATTGTTTTAATCTAAGTATTATAGATATATTATTTGTTTTTTTTGTCTTTTAGGGTTCCATACAGTGCCTTATCAACAACATTTGAAAAAATAGAAGAAATATCAGCAAGATTAAAGATCATAGAGGTTCTTAGCAACTATTTTAGATCTGTCATTGTTTTGTCACCAGATGATCTGTTGCCAAGTGTTTATTTATGTTTGAATAAATTGGCTCCTGCATATGAAGGTTTGTGCATTAGTTTTTATCAAAATATGTTTTAAATTGTTTTTCGATTACACCACTTTTTAATAGCAGTAAACACTGAAGTTGTTAAATGACCCAATCCACCCTTTTTTTCCAGTAAACATAGAAACTGGGAATATTTTATAACCCCCTTAGATGGAAAACAAACAATAGGATCATCAAGAGACAAGGCAATACTTTACAGGACAACAATGAGACTGAAAATAATTCTTAACAGTCATAAGAATTATTTTGTTACTCTTTAGGGGTGGCACCTGGCAAGTACTTGCCAAGTAATTATCAAGTGCTGGGTTTATAGGTTAATTATAATCTTGGTGTCATATTTTCATCTTTAAGTCTTATTAACTAACATATTTTTCTATAAATTTATAAATATTCATTAGAGTTTTGGTGAGTGTTATTTATTACAGTGGAATCCTACTTGTCTTCCAATCGGAATGGTAACTACTAAAAGAGATTTTGTGTCCTCAATAACTCTTACAATAATTTTTAATAATTTGTCACATTTGTAGGTATTGAAAATTTCAGTAATAATTGGAAAAAAGTATAATATAGAAGTCTCTATTGCACTACAGAATTTACAGAATGTAAAAAATTTACCTAGTGTAATAAGTGTGCTTACTCAAAGGAAATTCACTCAAAAATCTACATACTTCGCTATCTAAACAATTTTAGTACGTGGCCCGTCCATCTCATTCGGTTTACTTTAATGTAGCATACTATGTTTTCATCTCCGTATACTATTTGGAGTTTATCATTGTGTATTCTTCTCCATTCTCCTGTTGTCACTTCTCTGCAAGGCACATAAGTAGTCCGCAGTATCTTTCTTTCCAGTACCAGTAATTTTGTCATTTCTCGCTGGTTTCAGAGTCCATGTCTCGCTTCCATACGTTATTGTGGGATGAATTATTGTCTTATACACTCTTATTTTTAAATGAATTGATTATTAATTGATTGTAAAAATGTTATTTATTGGTGTTTTCTTCATTTTATTTATTTACTGCAAGTAATTATTTTTTTTATTATTATTGATGATTTGTAGGTTTAGAATTAGGAATCGCAGAAACAAATTTGATGAAAGCAATCGCTCAAAGTACAGGCAGAACTCTCGCCCAAATTAAAGCTGACAGTCAAGAAGTTGGAGACTTAGGATTAGTGGCAGAAAAATCAAAATCCAACCAACGAATGCTTATCAAACCTGCTAGGCTAACAGTGAAGGGAGTTTTTGACAAACTCAAAGATATAGCCAAAATGACAGGCAATGCATCACAAGCAAAAAAAGTGGAAAAGATCCAGTCAATGTTTGTGGCTTGTCAGGATTCTGAGGCCAGGTTTTTGATAAGATCGTTAGCTGGAAAGTTAAGGATTGGCCTAGCTGAGCAATCAGTTTTACAAGCTCTTGCGCTGGCTTGTACTATGACTCCACCGGGACAAGAATATCCTCCTAAAGTGATTAATAGAGCAAAAGAGATGGGTTCTGATGCATTTAAGGCAAAATATGATAAATATGGTCTTATCTTAAAAACAGCCTATTGGTAAGTGTAAAATTATCATAATGTAAGACACTCAGTATAGATTTGTTTGTTTCAGTGAATGCCCTAGCTATGATAAAATAATCCCAGTCATATTAAGTACAGGCATTAAAAGCTTACCAGAACATTGTAAGATTACACCTGGTATACCTTTAAAACCAATGTTAGCTCATCCAACAAAAGGAGTCCAGGAGGTTTTGCATAGATTCGATGGATTGAAATTCACATGTGAATGGAAGTATGATGGGGAAAGAGCTCAGGTACACATAACAATTTACTTACAGTTCTATACATTACTTAGATGTTTCTGTCTGACTTATGGTACATCAATCTTCTGGTATCTTCTATGTAACAAGATTGCTGTCATTTTGACAGTGTAAAAATCCAGACTCACTCACTGCCTTTCATATTAATAATTCTCTATTGTAATGTTTAATGTATTGTGGATGAACAAGCGGCTAATTACATGAATAACTGGTTTATACATGATATAAGGATAGTTTGTATTTGTATCATGTGGTTTATATGCAGTATCATTTTAACAATCTATCTCTGAATACTTACCAGACAGACAAATTTAAGTTTTAACATCTAGAGAAACATTAATTTTCTATTTCAGATCCATATAGATGGCACAAAAGTTAGTATATTCAGTAGAAACCAGGAAAATAACACTACAAAGTACCCTGACATCATTTCAAGGCTGGAAAAATGTAGATCAGATGGAGTAAATTCTTGTATACTAGATGGAGAGGTGGTGGCTTGGGATACAGAGCAGAAACGGATTTTGCCATTTCAAATTCTTAGTACACGGAAAAGAAAGGTAATTAATAAAATATTTATCAATTCAGGGGCAAAAAATATTCATAGAAAAAATATTCAGTCATAGATTAGAATTTTACTATTTACATCTGCTGAATCGGCTAAAAGGAAGAATGTGTAAGTGTTTTTTTTTGTTATAGTTATAGTAAAATAAGCATTAAGCATAGTAGCACTTACGGTAAAGACATAATTTCAAATGAAAAACCTCAATTAGAGGATCAATTTGCTTGTATCCTCCTACTTTAATAGTGAGGTGGTCCTGAGATAATCGAAAAAAAAAAACTACTAATGTCACTAATCTAAAAATTAACCATTTGCTTAAACCAAAAATTGATATCAGAGAAACAGTTAAAAGTAGAGGTGGGAACAAATTATTTAAACAGTTCCAAAATCCCAACAATTGAAGTAATGCAAAATATCTTAACATTAAACAAAAATTAATTTCAAAACATTATTTATTGTTTGTAATTGATATACACATTTTTTATTTACAGGATGCTAATGAGTCTGATATTAAAGTTCAAGTATGTGTTTTTATGTTTGATTTGTTATACTTCAACGGAGAATCTTTGGTTACTAAACCTTTCTCTGAACGAAGAGAATTGTTGAAGAACAACTTTAAGGAAGTTGAGGGAGAATGGATATTTGCAAAACACATGGATACCGCTACAATGGAAGAGGTGCAAGAATTTTTAGATGAAAGTATAAAAGGTATGATCATATATTTTTCTATTTATCTGATTATGTTTAATTTGTATATGTTAAAGGTGTATATATATATACAGATTATTTTATAAAAGATTTATCTTTTAATGACATTATTTTTAGGTAATTGCGAAGGACTGATGGTGAAAACTCTCCACAAGGAAGCGACTTACGAAATCGCAAAAAGGTCGCACAATTGGTTGAAATTAAAAAAAGATTATTTGGATGGTGTTGGCGACACTTTGGACGTAGTTGTTATTGGTGGATATATTGGTAAAGGAAAACGTACTGGACATTATGGAGGCTTCTTATTAGCTTGTTATGATAATGATAATGAAGAATATCAAAGTATATGCAAGGTAAATACTTAGATATACTGATACAGTATTTGCTACATTGAAGTACTAGTTGTTAGGTGATATTATTAACAAAATGTCATTGGTGACCAGTATCAACATCGTTCGGGCTGGGGTGTTACGATAATACTTGATATTATAATATGATATTTTATATATTGATGATATATTATAATACTTGATAATGTTAATTTGGCATTTACTATACTTAGATGTAATTTGACATTGATTTTATTTTTTTCTAGATTGGAACTGGTTTTACTGATGAAAATTTGGCGACGCATTCGGAATTTTTTAAAAGTCACGTTATCTCACAACCAAAATCATATTATAGGTTTGACAGCTCACTTGAACCTGATCACTGGTTTGATGCAGTACAAGTGTGGGAAATAAAGTGTGCAGATCTATCCCTATCTCCTGTGCATCGGGCGGGGATAGGCATCGTAAGTATTCCCATTAAATTTATCATTTAAAGATGTGTCCATGACATGATTATATATGTAAACCACACATACTCTAAAGTGGATGCAGGAGAGAGGAATACGACTATCAGTGGGTAAGAGATAGTCTTAACTTACCAACACTTGAGTCAAGGAGGACATTGTTAGATTTATGCTTCTTACACAAAGTTATCAATGCTTTTATAGATTGTCCTCAACTCTTATCGCCGTTAGTCTTAAAGTTCCTAGTAGAAGCAACAGACAATCAAATATTTTCAGTGCCATTTCACCACACTAATTATGGTATTAATAAACCAACTACACGATTGGTCCGGAGTGCTAATAGCCTACCAAGACAAATGGATATTTTTGACTCCAAAATTAGTTTGTTTAAAAAACAACTAAAAAGTATCTTACAATAAGTTTGTTGTAGTTCTGTATTATTCTTATATGTTTGTATTATTCTGAGGTGTTTGTTATTTTAATAGTTTATTGTTTTAAGATGTAACTTTGTAAAAAATGGATGCCGTATATAAATAAATAAATAGAAATGTCGAAAATGTAAGCAAAATATTATATCAATGTTGGACATAAATTGTAAAAAACATCCAGAAAATATTTTTCAAAATTTAGACCCAATGTTAATAAAGATCATCAGTCGTATGTTATTTATAAAAGAAATTGTAAAGACTGCATTTCAACATATATTGGGCAAACACACTAATATCTACATAGAAGGGTTGTTGCACACAAACTTAGTGTACAAACCATCAAATTAAACTCTACAGTTTTAGCCAAACATTGTCTAGAAAGTAGCCATTCTTATGATTTTGAAAATGTACAGATTTTAGCAAAAGAACAAACTACAACAAAATATGCATATTGGAGATGATTTACATAAAAAAAGATCAAAATTCTATCAATAATAAGACTGATATCAAAGATCTTCCTAATATGTGTCATAATTTAATAAATTAAGTTGTTTTTTAAATACCCCATTGGCAGATATTTAAAATACGATCCTAAACCACTCGTATTTTGAAGTACTTGCCAGATGTATTTAGGGTCAGATACAACTTTTTCATTATAATTAAAGTGCTTATTGAAAATGGCAAATAACCAAAACGTTTAAGCAATAATTAAGTGTTTTATTTATAACAGACCTACAAACACAGGAATTAAAAAAGACAATTTCGTTCTAGGTGGATCCAGAAAAAGGAATCTCACTACGATTTCCAAGATTTTTGAGAGTGAGAGACGATAAAAATGTAGATGAGGCAACAACGTCGCAGCAAATTGCTCGAATGTACTCCAGTCAGGAACAAGTGAAAAATCAGCAACAGCCAAATAAGTTTGATGATGATGATTTTTACTAAACATTTTTTGTTAAGATATAAGAATTTACTACTAAATATATTACAAAATCCTGTCATAAATATTTTTTGTAATAAAATACGATTTAAGTTATCAAACCAGATTCTTTTTAAACCAGAATGTGGCCCGATTCTAACGCATCGGCGTTCTAGAATGTATAATATTCTCCTAAAATGTTTTTGTTTTGCCACACCAAAAATATTCTATGCAAATTTATTTTGATACTACGAATGAATATGAAAAATGCAAAATAAAACGTTTTAAGACGCACAAAACGATACATTATAGATAAACTGTAGTATCGTGTTCGCCACTTGGTAACAAACAGACTTTAGTCTGATTTATTCTATCCTAATATATTCGTAATTTCCTCCCTTTCATTTGCTATGTCGCGTGTTAGGATTCTATTAGATATTTATTTTGTACTCAGCCAGAAGCCTTCTTTAAGTCAATAAATAAAAATTTGTTTAAAAGTAAATCTATTTTTATCAATAGCATCCTCTGATATATCGTATGTTGCTATACGTTCATTAATATCGAATAGGCTTATTGGGGGTAAAAACACGCACGGGACAAAAGAACGCACCTCATTTAAATTTGCCGCTAATGTCCAGTTTGAACCTATTTGTAACCTAGATCAAAGAAATCAAAATAGTTCAGCATTGCAAAGAACTCGACAAACGATTTTATGAAATGCTAAAGTCATTGCGTTTTTTAATTTATTCTTATTATGTAAGAAACCGTATTGAGCACATTTTCACCTGTAAATCAGTTGGCCGGGACTGCACTAGATCTTTCATGAAAAGGAACCGATTCTCTTTACGAGTTCCACGAAAAACAAGTATCGCTAGAACCATGGTCCTCAATAGAGTACAACTAGATCAGTATTTTGAAATCGTATCTATAACGTCGATGAAACAGGCCTTCAAACAGTCCCAAACCATCTGCTCAAACATGTTGCCCCAGTTGGAAAGAGAGATGTAGTAAAAGCGTAGCTGCCGAGCAAGTACAAACAATTACGGTTGTTTGCTCTATGAGTGCAACTGGTCACCAAGTCCCTCCATTTTTCTTATTTTTCCGAAAATGGATGAATCTTTTTCTAATCAAACTGCCTGCGACATAGCTGTTACCGATAGTGGTTACATAAACACTCCCACATTTATCAAGTACCTGGAGCATTTTAAAAAACATGTAAGTCCAACAGAGAACCCCGTTCTTCTGATTCTAGATAATCATGTATTGCACACAAGTCTTCAAGCAGTAACATTTGCAAAAGTTAATTTCATTCATTTATTAAGTCTGCCACCACATAGCAGCCATTTGATCAGGCATTTTTGAAACCAGTAAAAGCTTATTATGAGAGCGTCGCTGACAGCTGGACCAGTTCACATCAAGGACAGGTTCTCTGCATTTACCATGTGGCTGGTCTCTTTTCTACAGCATTTGCAAAAACTGCTGCTGTTGATATAGCAAACGAGGACTTTCGGTCTACAAGAATCCACCCACTAGATAAAAATATTTTTTCGGACGTAGATTTTATGCCAGCGGAAGTAACAGAGAAGGATTTAGGTGAAGATTCAGACGATGAAGGTCATGTTTTTATCCAGCTTCAGCAAGAAGAAAAAGCAAAACTTTTTACTGATGCGATAGAGCCCTAGCCGTCATCAAAATCAGAACAGTCAGTAATTTCACCTTCATGCATTATTCCCTTCCCAAAAATTAAGATAAAAATGAAACGAACTTGGAAAAGTTTGAAGTCAACCTTAATAACATCGACACCTAATAAGCGGCGACTTTTAGAAGAACAAGAAGAAAAGAAGGAAGCAGAAAAAGAGGAGAGGAAAGCATTACTGAAGAATGAAAATATCAAATCTCAAAGTGCTAAAGTTCGTGCTGCAAAAAGGCAGGCGACGAATCATCATCTGATGAATCAGTAGCACTCTCCTGATCTTGACTATCAAGAAAATATTGATTCTTGTGACATTCATTTTACCGATAACTATGAAGAGCAAGACATTGATGTTGTACCAAATATTTTACCTGATGACTTTGTCGTAGTGAAGGTTTTTGAAAGAAATCATACAGATTATTTGTCGCCAAAGTCTGTCAAGCAAATGATGATGGTTATGAATGAGTATTTTTTAAGCGACTATAAAACTACTGTCCACATTTAAAATGGAAAAATATGTTAGCTCTCCCGTAATAACATTATAAAAGTTCTAAACTGTTATAATTTCTGAAGACGACAGGAGATAAAGAAACTGCGTGTTTTTGCTATGCTGTGTAGTGCCCCTTTGGTAGTTGCCTTGTTTGTTTTTTCTGTCTTAATATATTTATTATATTTTCCCCTTTTATTTGCTACATCGCATGTTATTCGATTAGTTGTTTCCTCGAAGTCTTCTGTCTTCTAGGTTTGTCGGCAGAGTTTCTTCACTGATCCTTGTAGCAGTATTTTATGTTCTCCCCTACCAGGTCAAGTTCTTCATACATCAAGATCACATAATTGTGTTTGTTATTGAATGATACATTCTTATTCATGAATATGTTTGTACATTTGATTTTATTCTCCTCATATTTAATATCTAGTTAAAGGCTACGACAACAAATGAAAAACACTTTTATTAATTGTAATTTTTATTTTTATTGTAATTGTTCATAACTTACATTTAAACTGAGCAAACAAAAACATGATTTTCACAGCATACAATAATGCTAGAAAAGATGATTTTTTGCGAAAATACTTTGTGAATCCAAATAATCTCGTATAAAGGATGAACCACCAATAGAGCTAACATTATATTATTAAAAGTGTTTTTTTGTACCAAACAGTACACAATTTTTATAGTAACCAACTGTTACGACTGTCAAGATATTAAGGATACCAATAAAACTCATGCATTGTTCTGTCAGTACTCCTTTATGGAACATCAGTTTTAAAAAGCTGTAAGAATTACTAATAACGCACATATAAATAACAAGAGTTCTCGTTTTCTGTCTATAATACAACGTGGTGAGCTGTTATCCTGTTTCTGTCCCGAACATTTATCGGCCCTATATGCAGATGGTTTGTATATATTGTAAAGGTATAGTTCTCCTGGTCCCAAGTTGTAAATAGGCGCACACCGAATCATCCCAGACAGAGGACGCCATTATCGTTTCTGCTACTATGGTAGAGTATAAATTCTCTGGTAAAGTCATCAGAAGGAACGCATGCATTGGTAATCGCAATGGTATATGCATTGAGCGTGCTAAATGAGTAGGTACAATGAGGCTAGCTGATAGCGAACTTGCCATTCCGGAGACAAGGCTTTGAGCTGGGACCGGCGTTTTCGAACTGTGTCGAGCTGGGACCCTTAGTTTTTAGCATGTTAAGCTAGGCCATCCATCTCTTACTTCCGTACAACTTGTTTAAAGCTTGGTGAGCTGAACGTTATCTGTTCCTTTCCAGAACATTTACAGCTAAGCGTTCTCCTATTCGTCCAGAACATCCACATTGTACATCCCCATCCGAACTGGCTTGTGACCTCCCGACAGTGGTGAAACCATATATTTCTTACTTTCCATCTCTATCACAGTTTTGTAAACAGGATATTTGTTTCTATTAAGTCCTGAAAGTAAAAACTGGTTTACTGATAACTGCTATATTTCTTATGAGACCTACTTGAATAGAAAATAAAGTCCCTTGCACAAAGACAACTGTAAATAACCGAAAGATAGTACGTTACTATGGATTAAATACCAAAGCAAGTTACACGGCTTCCGATCTAAAGACCAAAATAATTTTCTGTTTGGCTCATTCACCATTAAATAAATTCCAAATATCTGGATCGCTAGAGAAGACTGTCTAAGATAAAAACATCTATTAAGTCGATTTAGGATTGTTTGATCTATTATGTAGGTTAGAATCGAACACTTGAAGCTTTAAGGACTGTAGTGTGCTGAATCAATATTGGTATCGCAAATATATTAATTAGCAACAAAATTTTAAACAATTTGTTTGTTAAATAATAATAATGTTAAATAATAATTGTTAAATATCTTTCTAACAGTTGCTAAATGCTCTAGTGGTCACACCCTGTATAAACCTCAAATGAAACAAAAGATAATGTCAAATGTCTTTCTTATGTTCTAATTTTACAACGTATATATATATTTTTGAAAATTCTAAAAGTTAAAATTATGAAAACGTTGAAGAATGTCACAGTATAGAATATATATGTTGAAACTTTTCCATATACTGAAGAACTGGGTTTTCTCGACAAAAATAATGAAGATAACTATTCATCTACGTAACAGGCTCGATACAAAAATATCCTAAAACTGGAAAATAAATAAATAAATTAACAATTAGCTGCAAATAAATATTTGGTCCTTTAAAATGTGCAAATAAACAGGTGATAATTTGATAAAAGATCTTTTGTAAATACAACCCATAAATATAAAATCTTTGTGCATTTTTCCATAACTTTTCAGATAATAGTCTCATTTTTTTTTCATTAAATTCAATCATTTATTGAATTTTCATTTGCATAAAAGATAAAAGTTCATTGAATTATAGAAAATGGGATGAAGAACTGTATAAAACATCACAAAAACTTAATATACAGTTACAAAAGTTAAATTAATAGGTCAAAACTTACCAAAAGGAAATACATTTTATTTCAAATTTATTTGTGAACTGCACAAAGGTTGATTTTCTACCCAGATACTTTCTATTTTCATCTTCGGCAGCAATTAGAATTTTAACAACAAAGAAATGTTACAAAAACTGTCCCAAATGGTATATGCCTGATATCAACTGGTAAAGGATAGTTATCAAAATAAAGGAGGTTACTTTAATGATGTTTTGTATCATTATCCAGCTTAAAGGTCTGCGTAAACGTGACTGGTCGCGGTTGCGAACAAACATGATGCACTAAACTAAAATAAGAGAGTATACATCTCTACAACATACGGTAGAGGGATTATCGGTCCATATTTCCACGAAAACCATAATGAACGAGCACTTACTTTAAATAATGAACATTACCGCGAAGTGCTGAATGTCTTTTTGTATCGAGAGTTGCAACTTTCAAATAACACTTTCTGG